GCCGCGCCGGGCGCTTGCCCCCGCCGGGGCCCCGTCGAGCTCCAGGCCGTCCTCGTCGCCGCTGCTGCCGCCGCCGCTGCTGCTACTGCAGCGCTATGGGCCGCTCGCGCTTCCTGCCCGCCGGGCCGCCGCTCTTCCTGGGCCCGGCGCGGGCCGAGCCGTTGCCCGAGCTTGGCTCCTCCCAGGCCACCGCCGCCGCCTTCTTCCTGGGCATGGTCGCCGCTGGAGGGAGACACCCCCATTTATTTCTTTTGGTTGTTGCTGTGATTGCCTTTGGGGTCTTCTTCATAAATTTTTTGCTTAGGCCGATGTCTAGAAGAGTATTTCCAACATCTTCCTCTAGAATTCTAATAGTTTCACTCCTTAGGTTTAAATCTGTTACCCAACGTGAGTTGATGTTTGTGAGAGGTGAAAGGTGTGGATCCTGATTCAGTCTTCTACATGTGGCTATCCAGTTTTCCCAGCACCATTTATTATAGGATTCTTTTCCCCAGTGTATGTTTTTGTCTGCTTTGTCAAAGATTAGGTGGCTATATGAGGATGGTTTTATATCTGGGTTCTCAGTTCTGTTCCACTGGTCAATGGCTCTATTTTTGTGCCAGTACCAAGATGTTTTGATTACTACAGCCTTATACTAAAGTTTGAAGTCTGGTAAGTTGATACCTCCCATTTTGTTTTTATTGCCTAGAATTGTTTTTGCTATGTGGGGTCTTCTCTGGTTCCATATGAAGCATAAAATTAATTTTTCTACATCTGTGAAGAATGATGTTCATATTTTAATAGGGATTGCATTGAATCTGTAGATCACTTTGGGTAGTATAGACATCTTAACGACGTTGATTCTGCCGACCCACGAGCATGGTATGGTTTTCCACCTGTTCATATCCTCTGCTATTTCCTTCCTCAATGTTTCATAGTTCTCCCTGTAGAGGTCTTTTACCTCCTTAGTTAAATATATTCCTAGATACTTTATTTTCTTTGTTGCTATTGTGAAGGGAATCGAGTCTTTGATTTGGTTCTCGGTATGACTGCTGTTGGTGTATATGAAAGCCTCTGATTTGTGTGTATTGATTTTATATCCTGAGACTTTACTGAATTCATTTATCAATTCCAGGAGCCTCTTGGTTGAATCCATGGGGTTTTCCAGATATAATATCATGTCATCAGCAAATAGTGAGAGTTTGATCTCTTCTGTTCCCATTTGTATGTCTTTAATTCCACTCTCTTGCCTGATTGCTGTGGCCAGGACTTCCAGCACTATGTTGAATAGAAGGGAGATAGTGGGCAACCTTGTCTGGTTCCAGTTCTAAGTGGGATTGCTTTCATTTTTCCCCATTCAGTATGATGTTGGCTGTGGGTTTGTCATAAATGGCTTGTATCATTTTTAGGTAAGCCCCATCTATGCCTATTTTGTTAAGCGTTCTTATCATAAAAGGGTGTTGAATTTTGTCAAATGCTTTTTCTGCATCTATTGAGAGAATCATATGGTTTTTGTTTTTGCTTCTGTTTATGTGGTGAATTACGTTTATAGATTTGCATATGTTGAACCATCCCTGCATCTCTGGAATGAAGCCCACTTGGTCATGATGGATTATTTTCTTAATAAGCACCTGGATTCAGTTAGCTAGAATTCTGTTGAGAATTTTTGCATCTATATTCATAAGGGATATTGGTCTGTAGTTTTCCTTTTTTGTTGTGTCTTTTCCTGGTTTTGGTATCAGGGTTATGTTGGCTTCATAAAATGTGTTGGGGAGGAATCCATCCTTCTCAATGTTGTGGAATGATTTCTGCAGTATAGGCACCAGTTCTTCTTTGTAGGTGTGGTAAAATTCGGGTGTGAAACCATCTGGTCTCGGACTTCTCTTTTTTGGAATGTTTTTTATTGCTGTTTCAATTTCAGTCCTTGATATTGATCTGTTCAGGAATTCTATTTCTTCCTGGTTGAGCCTAGGGAGGCTGTGTTTTCTAAAAATTTGTCCATTTACTCCACATTTTCCAGTTTGTGTGCATAAAAGTTTTTGTAATATTCATAAATTATATCTTGAATCTCCATGGCATTGGTTGTAACTTCTCCTTTTTTGCTCCTGATGGAGCTTATCAGGGATTTTTCTTTTCTGTTTTTTGTCTTCTGGATTTCTTGAGTTAGTGAAAAACAAAACATGGTTTCCAACTTTGTACTTTGCCAACTAATGATATTAAAATTCTGTTTAAAGTACCATTGTCATTCATCATTACTTCCTTAAGGATTGGAAAACTTTTGGAGTTAAAAAGTTAGTGTGAGACATAATTATTTTAACAAAGACAAATTCTTTAAGCAGAATAAATTCAGCTGTATGAAAATGTCACTTGTTTTTCCATTTCACTGCAGCAAAATTTTGTTGCATAGACTAGAAATGATAGGACAACCACTTCTGTGCTGAACTGCATGGCTGGAGGGCACAATTGTGGCAGGAGGGCTACCCCATCCCGGCTTCTGGGGCTCACAGGAAATCACTTGTACGAGGGATCTGGCTAGTCAGCTGGCTATCAAACTAACAGGAATTTGCACACATTTGTGGATTTGATCAATTGTGCAACACTTCTCTTGGCTAATGATGTTCGAATCGGAGGTGTTATCCCCATAACCCTGCTAAGGGCAGGTAAAGTCAGATACAAGTGGTTCAGCCTGGAGAAATAGTTATCCCACCAGTAAATTTAACTGGTGGGATAATTCTGTGGTTGTCTCTATAAGGCTGTGGTTTTGAACCAAATTTAAATTTCCTCTTTTCAAAATATTCTATTATTGGTGTTTTATTTTTCTGTTTATGAGGAAGATCATATTTCAAGTGTAATTCTGGTAACCTGATGAACAGCTTACCAACTAAGATTTGTGGTTGGAAGCAATAGAAACCAACTATGTTAAGTAGATAAGGACATTTAAAAGTTATTTATTTTTAATTGGCAAGAATTATATATATTTATGGTGTACAACATGATGTTTTGATATATGTATACATTGTGGAATGTGTAAATCAAGCTAATTAACATATGCATTACTTCACATACTTTTTTTGTGGTGTGAACACTTAAAATCTACTCCCTTAGTAATTTTTAAGTATACAATGCATTGTTACTATCATCACAATGTTGTACAATAGATCTCTTGAACTTACTCTTCCTGTATAACTGAAAGTTTGTATCCTTAGACCAACATGTCCCCAGTTCCCCCACTTCCCAGGCTCTGGTTGGTAACCACCACCCTACTCTCTGCTTATATGAATTTGCCTTTTTTAAAAAAGATTTTTCCCTGTTTTTTGTTTATTAACAGATCTAAATATACTTGCTAACAAATGTTTGGCACCTGTTCCTGAGGCCACATCAGAAGAATGAAGACAAGTGGTTTGAGGAAGAAAAAAGAAGTTTATTAATTTGCCAGCGAATGAGGAGGTTAGCAGACTTCTGTCTCAAAGTACCAGTGTCCTCAAGTTTGCCTTTTTTAGATTCCAGATATAAGTAAGATCATTGTCTTTCTGTGTATGACTTATTTCTAGCATAATGTCCTCCAGGGCCATCCATGCCGTTGCAAATGACAGGATTTTCTTATTTTTAAAGGCTGAATATTTCATTGTGTGTGTGTATATATATATATATATACACCACATTTTCTTTATTCATTCATCTGTTGATGGACACTTAGGCTGATTCTGTATCTTTGCTATTATGAATAATGCTCAATAAACATGGGGGTGTAGGTATCCCTTTGATAACTACCTAGTAGTGGGATTGCTGGATCGTATGTATGGTAGTTCTATTTTTAGCTTTTTGAGAAATCACCATACTGTTTTCCATGATGGCTCTTCTACTTTATATTCCTGCCAACAATATATAAGGATTCTGTTTTCTCCTTGCCAACATTTGTCTTTTATCTTTTTGAATATAGCCATTCTACCAGGTGTGAGGTGGTATCTCATGGTGACTTAAATTTTCATTTCCCTGATGAGCGTTTTTTTCATATACTTCTTGGCCATTTGTATGTCTTATTTTGAGAAATGTCTATTCAGGGCCTTTGCCAATTTTTAAATTTTTTTTTCCTTACTATGGAGTTTTTTGAGTTCCTTAGATATTTTGAATATTAACCCCTTATTACATGTATGATTTGCAAATATTTTCCCTTTTTGGTAAGGACATTTTTTGAAGGACATTGGATAGGACTTAGAGAAGACAGGAAGTCTCAAGATCCAGGATTGGGAAAAGGCGGGAATATAGGACCGTAGCCAAAGTCACACCTGAAACAGGTTGACAAAGACTCAGTTGCTGCCAGCACCGGCAGTCGGCTCCCAGTGGTACTGTGTGTTGCTGGTGCCTCTCCCAGAATGAATCTTTCCTGCTTAGCTTCTTTGTTATCATCAGATTAAGAGTTACAGATCCAGGCAGTTAGCTTGGCTGAAGTTGCACACGGTTTGGCACTAGAGTTCTGGAGTAGGTAAGGTGCTACGTTTTTAGAATAGGGAAGGCAAGTATTCGGGCTTGCAGCTCATAGGAATCCCTCAAACACCAGAAATGGGACCAGGCAGCCAAAAAGGTAATATCTTTTTACTTTTTTACCTTTTATATGACTAAAGAATAAGGTCATGTTTACATTTTATGCCCAAATCCTTAGGGTAAAAGTCCCCATCTTGCTTGTTTGCAAGAAATCAAGCCTTTTACCAGAATCTGCAACGCACCCTCCCTGGAAATACTCAGGGCACCTGTCCCCTTTTCTCAGAGCCTTTTGATTCTTTCTTGCCCCGTCAGGCTGTGGTCTGGCTCTAGGTCTTTCCTTCTGTCTTCCAAAGAGCATACCTCCCACAATGATGGTTGAGATGCAGCTGCAAAACTAAGGAGATTTTCTGAATATTTGACACTAGTACAAGTGATTGTAACTGAGGAAATCTAAATGCATCCCGAAGGTGGCTGTTGCTTGAATGAATCCCCATCTGTAGCCTCCTACCTATGACATTGTCCTTGAGCCAACCTGTTGCCTATGTCTCTTCTCCTCCATGTCCTTGAACTTGTTGTTCCTTCTTTCCTAAAAGAAAATAATCTGTGAGATGAAACTTGGCTAACAGAGAATAACAGTGTAGTAGAGATAACCCTTTCTAGGTTCTGTTCCAAACTTCTTATATATCACTTCACAGTATCCTCAGGTGGCCTTATGAGGAGGATTGCCATCCGGTTTTACAGATGAGAAAACAAAGGCAC